GTAGCGCGCCCCAACAGCTGGACATCTGGTTGAAAAGCAAGGCTGACCAGTTTCCTACCCAGGACCACATCTGGCCGGCCCGGCACACCCCGTTTAGTCCTCACGCTGCCCCGCACGGCCTCAGCGCTGATGTTCATCATATCGAAGTCTGCACAGCCCTAACATGGAAGAAAGCCCACATCCCAGTAGGCAGGGCCAGGGGGAATAACGTAGCCCCGCTAGGCAGTGTGTGCTCTCTGGTTGTATTTCGTGGGAATAGTTCTGCTGGTGAGGAATGACCTCACAGAAATTCATCCTGGGTAGCTCTGCCTGCCCAGGAGAAAAAAGTTGGGGTAGAGAAGAGGAAATAAGGAGGAGCTCTGTTTTGAAACTCTCCCCCCCGACACTCCCATTTACAGCTGCTCTGAGGAGTTAGGAAGATTTATCACTATCAAGTCCAGCCTGCAAGCTGAGGTAGATCAGGAAAGGAGTGGTTTCACAGTTCCTATTTGGGACCAGCTAGAGGGTGAGCCCCACCTCATTTTACCTGGTGTGTTTGAGAGCAAGGGGGCAGTGGAGGGGTGAAAAGAGAGAAGCAGCAGCAAAAAAACCTAAACAGTTCTGGACTCTCACATTTCAGGAGAGATGTTTCAGTATGAGGCAAAGCCATGAGCAGGTAGTGGTTGCCCTTTGAATGTACAGATCTTGCTACTCTTGCACAGGGATTTTCAGAACTCCCTGCACTGATTCTCTATTTTATGTGGAGGGGATTTGAAGTAGAAGCAACAAACACACCAAGTCAGCATTTTCTTGCGCTAAAAGGTCGGCTGAAGAGAAGAATCCAGCCAGCCTGCATTAAGAGCCCAAACAAGAGTTAAAGGTCACAAATACCCTAAATAGGAAGAGAAAGCGAAAGGCACCTCTTTTAAGGAGTAAGGAGGAAGGTGAATTCCTGGTTTAAGGTTTTCATATTGACCCTTAAAGAATTGAGGCAAGAAGCGATTCTCCACCCAACTTAGAACAGAAGAGTTGGAAGTAGGCCAAGGTCTGCTTCTTGACAGCAGTGCACCTTCCTGGGCTTAGCGTCTAGATATCCAAAGACACGTTCCAAATCCTTTTTCTAGCATAACTCTTCCAATGCAAAACTTACTTGTATTGAATGCAACTTAAATCAGTTCATTTCCAAGATTTGAGCTGTCTGTTTTTCCATCAGATCACATTACTGAGAAACTACTGGAAAAGCAAAGTGAAGCAAGAATGGCTGAGTGGGAAATACAGCAACATTCCTTCACAAAACAGCTTGCCAGAGAAAAGCATGTATCCGATGGACGTCGACACATGGGGAGAAATCCTGGAAGCAGAACTTGAGAGATGAGAAACCAGGGCTGGTTCTTGCAACTCAAGAACCTTCTATCAACAACTCACAGACTGCCAAACTGTAAATATTTTGCCGTTCAAAATCAGTTGTTTGCAAACATACGATGAAAGCTTCTCAAAAAAAAAAAAGTTATGTCTATCTTTTTTTTATTTGCACTTTATCTGATTAATTTTCTTTAAAATTCTAAATAAGATTAAATATTCAGCTGTAATGTTATATTTGTAAATTTAATGTTCTCCTGTATCGTTAAAAAGATGTTGATTGTACTTTTAATTTGCACTTTCTATTTTGGAAGAGATGACTTTAAAAAAAAGAAGTGTGTTTGACTTGAAGCGTATTATATCAGCAGCACAACATGAAAGCCCACAAAGGAAGGCTGGGGAAGGGACAAATCCAGACACTGGAAAGAAAAGGACAAGGCAGCCACCTCAGCATCAGCTGAACATCCCCAGCGCCCATCTCAAGGGACGGGGCCCTCACAAGGATCTTCTCTGAACCTGCCCCCACAGAGGTGTTAGTGCTCGGCAGCGCCGCATTTCCACTGCCCGGCTGTGGGATTTCTGGATTAGGACTCACAGATGCAGGCAACGGGCAGGACTGAAGCAGCCACGTAACTAACAGTCTCTCTAACAGTCATTAGCTATGCATTTTAGTCATTTGCATGATAAGGAGTAGAGCAAAATTTACTACTTCAAACAAAATAACTCAGATAACCATACGAGATAACACAACTTCATATATTTTTGTAGTCAGGCAAAAACACATTCAGAAACTCATTTTTTTCCTATATGATGATCTCCCATCACACAGGCCCTGCTTTACCAGTACCAATTTTTGGCACCAACTAAAAACTGCTGCTAGTAAAAGAGGAGATGCCTGTCACATTACTCAACATAAAAGTGACCACAAAATCAATTTATTACAATTCCATTTGAATATTTTTTTTTGCACTAAAGAGTAAAGTAAGTGGGAAAACCCTGGGAAGATCCCTATTGCTTGAGGTATTCCTACAAAATTCAGTCGCCAATCTGGGACCAATTTTCTATAGAAGGACTTCTACCATGCTTAAGAAACTTAGTTAATATAAACTGATTTCAAATCAACTACTGTGGACTTTGGTAGAGGACCTTCTGGCAACATAAGGACAGAAGTGTCCTGTCATGAACATAAGGTTCAACGGCACTAGGTCAGGCCCCTATTAGATACAGAGTTTACTTAAACGAGGTCCAGCCCTTACCTTTAACGGGGGGGGGGCCAGTAACACTAGATGGAGCAGCAGAGCAGTTTTGCTCGGAAAATACAGACCATGGCCCTCTGGGCTAAGACCCAGTAGCATTTTTTGTTTGATGGTGCTGGTGGTTAAACAAACCATTAGTTTAAACTTGCTTCCAACTTACGCATTTTTATTTTCTCACAATTATTTAACCATTGCAGAATATCTGGTAAAAATATCTAGTATTCTTTACTCCCCTTTATTGCAAGCGTGTGGGCTCACAGGCTGTTCGTTGTAGGTGCCCATATCTACAGGCCAAGGAAGAAACAGAACAGCCAGGACAAACTGGTAGTTCTAAAATGCTTCCACGAACAGCATGTTACCTGATCCCTCTTCTAGTCTGGAGCATTCAAGAGATTTCATCAAAACTGACCCACTTAGAATCACAGAATCATTAAAGTTGAAAAAGACCTCCAAGATCATCGAGTCCAACCGTCAACCCAACACCACCATGCCCACTAAACCATCTACACGCCTCATCTACACGTCTTTTAAATACTTCCAGGGATGGTGACTCAACCACTTCCCTGGGCAGCCCGTTCCAAGGCCTGACCACTCTTTCAGTAAAGAAGTTTTTCCTAATGTCCAGTCTAAACCTCCCTTGGCGCAACTTGAGGCCATTTCCTCTCGTCCTATCGCTTGTTATTTGGGAGAAGAGACCGACCCCCACCTCGCTACAACCTCCTTTCAGGTAGTTGTAGACCGCGATGAGGTCTCCACTCAGCCTCCTCTTCTCCAGGCTAAACAACGCCAGTTCCCTCAGCCGCTCCTCATAAGGCTTGTGCTCCAGGCCCTTCACCAGCTTCATTGTCCTTCTCTGGACACGCTCCAGCACCTCAATGTCCTTCTTACAGTGAGGGGCGCAAAACTGAACACAGTATTCAAGGTGCGGCCTCACCAGGGCCGAGTACAGGGGCACGATCACGTCCCTACTCCTGCTGGCCACACTATTTCTGATACGTTTCCCTCAGCCTCCTACATTTTCCCCATTAGAACAGGTTTTCAGTTCGTATGCACCAGTACCTTTTCTAAATCATGACTAGCATATCTCATTGAGACAGCTTTCTCATCAACAACATCATGTGACATGATGCAGTGACTGGATAATGTTTCTTAGATGTTTGTAATTTATTCCTTATAGGTAAGTGTTAGTCCCAGGATCAGGACCCCATTGCACCAGGTTTTATAAAGATGCGTAGCCTCTCTCTTTACTGCCAAAGAGTTGACGCTGTTCTTGTGGGATGACTACTTAGGTTAGCCAAAATGCATGCAGTACCCAAAATTCACTGAAGCTTCTGCTGTCACCCTCCTGCCAAACATGGCTGAAGTGTAACTCAGAGTAAAGGACATTGCTAAGTATAGTGGGTGTAGGACAAAGCTCAATGAATTGCAAACACTGCTTCCTTTATTATTAGCTATTCTGCTCTAAGATTATATCTAGTTAGCTCAAATTAAAAAAAAAAAACAACCCACACAAAAAAACCCCACAAAAAACCAAACCACACCCAAGTACAACAGTTTTTCCACTGAAGGTGCTGCCTTACTGCCAGCTCACAGTATCTTTTACCCTGACTTTAAGAGAGCTGGAAGTGAAAAAAAGTGCATAGAAATTAATAAAGAAGAAAATAATACTAGCAGTACATGGGCATCACCTCAGGAGTGCCCAATTCATTAATCGTAAGACAAGAAAAGTGCACAATAATGGATCTAGTCCCTCACCCTTCTCCTCGCCCAGCCTCCTCCTGTTACCTCCAGTCTCTGCAACTCCCAGACATTTATCCCCTCTTTCTGACAGCCCCTCAGCTGTCAGTTCACATATATTTGTCTCAGGATACAATTTTTAAATAGAATAATTATTCTGGTATAAATCCTGACACACAGTTGTTTCACTGTGCACTTAGCTGTAGCTTTTCCCCATTCTCGTACGAGCATAGGAATCGCCAGTATCTGTCATGCCTCTACCTCTGTCCAGAGCAGGTGGCTGTGCCTCTTTAAACACACCATGAGTTAAACATTCAGCTATGCAATTAGACAAGGCCTGGATCTTTAAACCTGGAGTAGCAGTGCTGTAAGTTTCTCATGAAAATCTATTACTGAAAGGAAAAAAACAAGTACGTAAGTACAAGTTCTCATGAAAACAAAGCTTGCTTCCCCTCCCCACTCTGAGCCCCTCCTTTAAGGGTTTTAATTCTCCCTGGAGATTTTATTACATCAATTCTGGTCTTCTGGTCGTCTCCCACCCCCCGCACCACCTACTCAGTCTCTCAGCTCCGCTGTAGGCTGGACGTGCCCTCTCCCCTCTAAAGACACCCCACTAGCATCCATCGCTCCAAACAGCTGCACTTCCTACACCAGCTG